ACTGGAGTCCTCTTCCCCTCCTCCATGATGACATCACGGAGCTGGTGGATGTTAGAGACCTTGCGCTCCTCCACCTTCCATTTGAGGACGCCCCACAGATGCTCAATAGGGTTTAGGTCTGGAGACATGCTTGGCCAGTCCATCACCTTCACCCTCAGCTTCTTTAGCAAGGCAGTGGTGGTCTTGGAGGTGTGTTTGGGGTGGTTTTCATGTTGGAATATTGCCCTGCGGCCCAGTCTCCGAAGGGAGGGGATCACGCTCTGCTTCAGTATGTCACAGTACATGTTGGCATTCATGGTTCCCTCAATGAATTGTAGCTCCCCAGTGCCGGCAGCACTCATGCAGCCCCAGACCATGACACTCCCACCACCATGGGGCCCCAGACCATGACACTCCCACCACCATGGGGCCCCAGACCATGACACTCCCACCACCATGGGCCCCAGACCATGACACTCCCACCACCATGGGGCCCCAGACCATGACACTCCCACCACCATGCTTGACTGTAGGCAAGACACACTTGTCTTTGTACTCCTCACCTGGTTGCCGCCACACACGCTTGACACCATCTGAACCCAATCAGTTGATGTTGGTGTCATCAGACCACAGGAGACGGTTCCAGTAATCCATGTCCTCAGTCTGCTTGTCTTCAGCAAACTGTTTGCGGCTTTCTTGGTCATCATCTATAGAAGAGGCTTCCTTCTGGGACGACAGCCATGCAGACCAATGTGATGCAGTGTGCGGCGTATGGTCTGAGCACTGACAGGCTGATCCCCCCCCTACACCCTCTGCAGCAATGCTGGCAGCACTGACAGGCTGACCCCCCCACCCCTTCACACCCTCTGCAGCAATGCTGGCAGCACTCATACGTCTATTTCCCAAAGACAACCTCTGGATATGACGCTGAGCACGTGCACTCAACTTCTTTGGTGGACCATGGTGAGGCCTGTTCTGAGTGGAACCTCTCCTGTTACACCGCTGTATGGTCTTGGCCACCGTGCTGCAGCTCAGTTTCAGGGTCTCGGCAATCTTCTTATAGCCTCGGCCATCTTTATGTAGAGCAACAATTCTTTTTTTCAGATCCCCAGAGTTCTTTGCCATGAGGTGCCATGCTGAACTTCCAGTGACCAGTATGAGTGAGAGCAATAACACCAAATGTAACCCACCCGCTCCCCATTCACACCTGAGAACTTGTAACACTAACGAGTCACATGACACCTGGGAAGGAAAATGGCTGATTGGGCCCAATTTGGACCTTGTCACTTAGGGGTGGACTCACTTTTGTTGCCGGCGGTTTAGACATTAATGGCGGAGTGTTGAGTTATTTTGAGGGGACAGCAAATTTCCATGTTATACAAGCTGTACACTGACTACGTCACATTGTAGCAAAGTGTCATTTCTTCAGTGTTGTCACATGAAAAGAGAATCAAATATTTACAAAAATGTGAGGGGGGGGGGACTCACTTCTGGGAGATACTGTATATATATCAATCACCCCAAATCCTCTTCCCCTTCCAGCACAAATCTCAGTGACCCCCCCCAATCCACCCTCCCAGCATAAATCTCCCCAAATCTCTCTTCTAGCATTACCCCCTCCCAGCACAAATCCTTTCCCCCTGTTATAGTACAAATCATCTCCCTTCTTATAGCATCCCCCCCTTCTAGCACAAATCCCTTTCAAAACTCCCCCTAGAGCAAATCCTCTTACTAAACTCTACCTTCCCCCATCACTCCTCCCAGCACAAATCCATCCCCAACAGAAATCTTCATTAACTTCCTTCACAAATCCTATCCCCTTCAGGTCATATGACCCCTCCAGTGCAATTTTTTGTCTCTGAAAGCCTGAAACAGACCTCAGATCAGCATTGCTCAATACAGGGGGACATCCCTCCTGATGCATCAGAGCCAAGGAGGAGTGTAGCTTTCCTCCGCTCTGACATATACAGTGAAGGAAATGCGTATTTGCTCCCCGGCTGATGGTGAATGTTCGCCCCTCACACAGAAATGATCGGTCTAACAATGGAATGTTCGCCCCTCACACAGAAATGATCGGTCTAACAATGGAATGTTCGCCCCTCACACAGAAACAATCGGTCTAACAATGGAATGTTCCCCCCTCACACAGAAATGATCGGTCTAACAATGGAATGTTCGGTGTAACACTGAGAGACAGAATACAACAACAAATTCAGCAGAAATGCGTCTAACAAATGATGACGGATCTGCATGTTCATGAGGGAAAGAAGGATTTGATTCCCTTCACAAAACATGACTTAGTACTTGGTGGCCAATCCCTTGTTGGCAATCACAGAGGTCAGACGTATCCTGGAGTTGGCCCCCAGGTTTGCACAGATCTCAGAAGGGATTTTGGCCCACTTCTCTTGGCAGATCCTCTCCAAGTCATTAAGGTTTGGTGGCTGACGTTTGGCAACTCAAACTTTCAGCTCCCTCCACAGATCTTCAATGGGATTAAGGTCTGGAGACTGGCTAGGCCACTCCAGGACCTTAATGTGCTTCTTCTTTGTTGCCTTGGCCGTGTGTTTTGGGTCATTTGTCCTGTCCCCTTAGCAGAAAAACACCCCCAAAGCAGAATGTTTCCACCACCATGTTTCACAGCTGGGATGGTGTTCTTGGGGTCATAGGCAACATTCCTCCTCCAAACACGGCAAGTTGAGTTGATGCCAAAGAGCTGGATTTTGGTCTCCTCTGACCACAACACTTCCCACCAGTCCTCCTCTGCATCATTCAGATGTTCAGTGGCAGACTTCAGACGGGCCTGGACATGGGCTTTCTTGAGCAGAGGGACCGTGCGGGCACTGCAGGATTTCAGTCCTTGTCGGCGTAGTGTGTTACCAATTGTTTTTCTTGGTGACTGTGGTCCCAGCTGCCTGGAGATCATTGACAAGATCCTCACGTGTAGTTCTGGGATGATCCCTCACTGTTCTCATGATCATTGACACTCCACGAGGTGAGATCTTGCATGGTGCACCAGACCTAGGGAGACTGACACTTGTTTTGTGTTTCTTCTATTTGTGAATGATTGAACCAACTGTTGTCACCTTCTCACCAAGCTGCTTGGCCATAGTTTGGTAGCCCAGTCCAGCCTTGTGTAGGTCTACCATCTTGTCCCTGACATCCTTGGACAGCTTTTTGGTCTTTGCCATGGTGGAGAGTTTGGAATCTGATGGTTTGATTGCTCCTGTGGACAGGTGTCTTTTATACAGGTAACACAATGAGATTAGCAGCACTCCCTTTAAGAGACTGCTTCTAATCTCAGCTTGTTACCTGTATGAGAGACACCTGGGAGCCAGAAATCCTGCTGAATGATAGGGGATCAAATCCTTCTTTCCCTCATGAACATGCAGATCCGTCATCATTTGTTAGACGCATTTCTGCTGAATTTGTTGTTGTATTCTGTCTCTCAGTGTTACAATACACCGAACATTCGATTTTTAGAGCGATCATTTCTGTGTGAGGGGCGAACATTCAAAATCAGCCGGGGAGCAAATACACATTTCCTTCACTGTATTGTTACAGGCAGCCGGCGGAGAGAAACGCTGGCTGCAGAAGAGGGGGGGATTGCGGTACTAGTGACCTTGGGAACCTTGCAGGAGATGCGGGGCAGCTGCTGTGGGTACCCGGCACTAGACCGCCCGTCAGGTAAATTTGTGGAGCCAAGTGCTGGAAGTTGTTCTGGTGCTGGGCTCCAGGACACGGCCCAGATCTGTGGGATGCTGGGATTTTTATGCTCCTAAATAAATTTGCACTCAGGGCAACCAAAACACCACTGAAGGTAACAACTGAAAATGTCACAAAAGCATATTAAAAAAAGAACAGGACAAAGTACTAAAGGAGCAGAAGCAGCTGAAAATATGACATGAAATGATGCAGAGGTGACATCAGAAGCTTCATAATGAAAATAAGAGATTACAGAAGAAGATAAAGAAGAAACTAAGCAGAAGAAGAAACCACATAGAGGGGTGAATAGAATGGACAGGAGAGACTGCAGACAGGACAGAGGGGTTACAAAAAAGACAGAGAAAGTTACACAAAGGCAAATAAGACATAAGAGAAAGGGCTGAAGTTAAATATCAGGCATAAGAGGCTGAAGAACGTACATGAGGAACAGAAGAAGCTACAGATGGGAAATAATTGGTTACTGAACAGATAAATGGGCTACAGAAAGGAGCTACAAAAGGGGCAGAGAAGGCTTCACAAATGGTAGAAAAACCTTCAGAAATCACATCAAAAACTCCAGAAAGGTTACAGAGGAGATAGAAGGTAAAGGACAAACAAGGCTTCAGAAGGAGCTCCATAAAGGGCTTGACGGGTCACAGAAAAGAGAACGCTACATAAAGAGAAAGAAGACACCAAAGAAGAGCTGCCAGAAGATACATAACAGACCCAAAAGTCTGAAGAACCCACATAAGGAGCAGAAGGAGCTCCATAAAGGGCTTGACGGGTCACAGAAAAGACAGAGAACGCTACACAAAGAGAAAGAAGACACCAAAGAAGAGCTGCCAGAAGATACATAACGGACCCAAAAGTCTGAAGAACCCACATAAGGAGCAGAAGGAGCTCCATAAAGGGCTTGACGGGTCACAGAAAAGACAGAGAACGCTACACAAAGAGAAAGAAGACACCAAAGAAGAGCTGCCAGAAGATACATAACGGAGCCAAAAGTCTGAAGAACCCACATAAGGAGCAGAAGGAACTACACTTGGAAGAAAAGAGGTTACTGAATGGATGAAGGAGCTGCAGACAAAACAGAAGAAGCTACAAAGAATCCCCAGAAGAACCTACAGGAAGGTTAGAAGAACATACAGCAGAGGCTACAAAAGAGACCGGAGCAGATGGAGACGTCTTAGAAAGCTGTACAGAACTTAGTTACAGAAGTTAAGTACTAAAGTGGCTACAAAACATTTATAAACGGTACAGAATCAACCAAAGATGTCCAATAGGTGACAGATAATTCTACTGCATTCCTTAACACTCACTTTTAAAGTGCTTTTCAGTGCTCGGATGCGGTGCAGCTTATCATTGATGATGGGGTCATTGCATCTTTTGACAAATGATCTCCTGAACTCCTGCTTGGTGGAAGGTCGCTGCTCACCAAAGGCAGACAGGCTGGCTTGTTCCAGGGTCTTGTAGAGCTCCTCCAGGCCATCTGTGCTGGACCGGTTCTCGTTCTTGCTGTCTGGAACAGATGTCGAATTTTATTGTCTACAGTCACATGTATCAAGACGCAGCTCAACAGGGCTTGTATACTGTATACACACATATATATATATAGCAGAAAGTTTCTGGACACCTGACCATGACACCTACTATGTTGACAAGCATACAGTAAGTGGGTCACCCTCCAAATGATGGAGTTCAGGTGTCTCCAAGTGAAGGGTCCAGGTAATACGTCATCATGCAAATTAATTTTAGACAACTGTGCTCTTCCCTGTTTGGTGAAGACTCTTTTCTGTTCCAGCATGACTGTGCCTTGTGTATGAAGCCAGCTCCATAAAGACATGGCTTGACCAGTTTGGTATGGAGCACTTGGCCTGAATGACAAATCAAGCCTGCCAGGCTTTTTCATGTGGCCCTTGCACCTCTCCTGCAGCTGTGGCAACCCCCTTGTCTTCACCCCCACCTTGTCTCAGCATATGGCAGCAGAGAGGAGAACAGATCTCCTCCTCCAGATCCTTCACTTCTCCATGCAGCAACAGAGAGGCATGTATCTGCCGCCACCTTGTCTCAGCAGTCAGCAGCAGAGAGGAGGACAGAAATCCCCTGCCAGATCCTGTACTACTCCGTACAGATGTGGAGAGGCTCCTCCCCCCCCATCTCAGCAGTCTGTATCAGAGGACAGAACTCCTCTACCAGAACCTGCTCCTCTCTGTGCAGTCACAGCACCAACTCATCTCCGCTTACCCTGATCTTAGCAGTCTCCGGCAGCTGACTACAGCCGTCCTCTGGTCCTCCTCCAGACCCTGCACTTTCTGCTTCCCAGCTCCGCCCCCAGCTTCTTCCTGGGAGCAGCACAATGTAAGGGGGAGCACTGTGAAGTAAGGGAGGGTGGGGGACTCTTGACTTCTGATGGGTGGGGTGGGGGGGGGTTCTGATGTAAAGGGGTAAGGTGCTCTGGACATCTTAGAGATACAACTGGCCCTTTTAGGGCACCCATAATGCTGCTGCGGCAATAAAATTTAATTTGATACCCCTGGTATGGAGGAACTTGTGTTGTCTACAGTGTAGACTCTACACAGAACCCTGACCTCAACCCTACTGAACACCTTTTGGATGGATTGTGGATTGTGAGCCAGATCTTCTCATCCAACTTCAGTACCTGACACATATGTGCACAATTCCCACAGACACTCCAAAATGTTGTGACAAACCTTCCCAGAAGAGTGGGGCCAATTCCACAAAAACATGGTTTGACCAGTTTGATGTGCAGGAACTGGAGTGTCCTGCACAGAGCCCTGAACTCAACCCTACTGAAGGATGAACTGTGATGCCTACTGTGAGCCAGGTCTTCTCATCCAACTTCGGTACCTGACCTCATATATGGGCACAATTCCCACAGACACTCCAAAATTTTAGGAGAAGCCTTCCCAGAAGAGTGGAGCCAACTACACAAGAACATGGTTTGACTAGTTTGGTTTGAAGGAACTGGAGTGTCTTGCACAGAGCCCTGACCTCAACCCTACTGAAGACCTTTGGGATGAACTGTGATGCCTACTGTGAGCCAGGTCTTCTCATCCAACTTTGGTACTTGACCTCATATATGGGCACAATTCCCACAGACACTCCAAAATTTTAGGAGAAGCCTTCCCAGAAGAGTGGAGCCAACTACACAAAAACATGGTTTGACTAGTTTGGTTTGAAGGAACTGGAGTGTCTTGCACAGAGCCCTGACCTCAACCCTACTGAAGACCTTTGGGATGAACTGTGATGCCTACTGTGAGCCAGGTCTTCTCATCCAACTTCAGTACCCGACCTCACGAATGGGATCAAATTCCCACAGATGCCCTCCAAAATCTTAGGGTAAGCCTTCCCAGAGGGAAAAACATTTGACATTTTAAATAGAAAACAGTGACATGGTAAAGGTCCCTTCATTAATATTTACCTTCTCTACTGGAACTGCTGTGCTTCCTCTTCGGTACCTCCTCTTCCACCTTTTCCTCTAACAGTTCTGTGTTGTTATTTCCTCGGTTCTTCCCCCTACCATCCCTGTTCCTCGGCAAGCTTTGGCTGCGCTGCTTCTGCGTTCGGGCGTGCGCCGTGTGACTCCGGGGACACTCTGCCAGGGGGAAGGGCCCATCTCTTTCATGGTTATGGCGCCTCTGGACTGGTAGCGTGGCTTGCTTGCGCCTTTCTGGTGACATCCCCATCCTGCCCGCCACATGCTCCGAATCAGGGGGGCACCGTCTGGAGGAAGTGAAGCCCGGAACTGGTCAGGGGAGTTTCTATTAAATCTTGCCAAGACCGGCGCTCTCTGTATGTGGGGCGACAGCCTGAGGAGTGCGTGCTGCCGGTGGCATCCTGCCGCGTCTCCTCTGCGGAGGAATGGGAGTAGGTGGATTCGCTGGAAAAGTGGCGCCCCCCCGTGTTTCTGTTCAGGGAAGGGACTCGAGGAATTGCCCTGAGGAAACAAAGTCATGTCAAATGATTATCGAGGTAATGCATCCATTGCATAAAACAGATATCCAGCTGATTCATGTCTAATTGTATGTAAATCTGTACTTTCTGGGACTATAAATCCCATTTCAGTCTCTGCAGATGACACCAAGCTGTGCCGGGAATAACGTCCTTACAGGATGTCCCCAACTTACAAGCCGACCTCAATGCTCTGTGTAAATTGGGGGGACTATGGGGCCAATGAGGGTTAATGGTGATAAATGTAAGGTTCTGCACTTGGGGGCTAAGAATATACATGCATCATACATACTGGGGGGGGGTACAACTGGGGGGGGTCAATGGTGGAGAAGGATCTGGGGGGTTAACGGTGGAGATGGATCTGGGGGGGGGGGGTCAATGGTGAAGAAGGATCTGGAGGGGTCAATGGAGAAGGATCTGGGGGGGGTCAATGTTGAAGAAGGATCTGGGGGGGGGGGTCAATGGAGAAAGAAGGATCTGGAGGGGTAAATGGTGGAGAAGGATCTGAATGGGGTCAATGGCGTAGAAGGATCTGGGTGGGTCGATGGTGGAAAAGGATCTGGGGGGGTCAATGGTGGAGAAGGATCTGGGGGGGTTCAATGGCGGAGAGAATCTGAAGGGGTCAATGGCGGAGAAAGGATCTGAAGGGGACAATGGCGGAGAAGGATCTGAAGGGGTCAATGACGGAGAAGGATCTGAAGGGGTCAATGGCGGAGAAGGATCTGGGTGGGTCAATGGTGGAGAAGAATCGGGGGGGGGGGGGGTCAATGGCGGAGAAGGATCTGAAGGGGTCATGGGTGGAGAAGGATATGGGGGGGTCAATGGTGGAGAAGAGAAGGATCTGGGGGGGGGGGGGGGGGTCAATGGTGAAGAAAGGATGGAGAAGGGTTCGGGGGGGGGGGGGGGTCAATGGTGCAGAAGGATCTGGGGGGGGTCAAGGGTGGAGAAGGATTCGTGGGGGGGGGGATGGTGGAGAAGAGAAGGATCTGGGGGGGGGTCAATGGTGAAGAAGGATCTGGGGGGGGGGGTCAATGGTGCAGAAGGATCTGGGGGGGTCAATGGTGGAGAAGGATCTGATATGATCTCCATGTATAATACATAAGGGGGGATATGATCTCCATGTATAATACATAAAGGGGGAATATGATCTCCATGTATAATACATAAGGGGGGGGATATGATCTCCATGTATAGTACATAAGGGGGGATATGATCTCCATGTATAATACATACATGTATAAGGGGGGATATGATCTCCATGTATAATACATAAGGGGGGGGATATGATCTCCATGTATAATACATAAGGGGGGATATGATCTCCATGTATAATACATAAGGGGGGGATATGATCTCCATGTATAATACATAATGGGGGATATGATCTCCATGTATAATACATAAGGGGGGATATGATCTCCATGTATAATACATAAGGGGGATATGATCTCCATGTATAATAACATAAGGGGGGGATATGATCTCCATGTATAATACATTTAAGGGGGGATATGATCTCCATGTATAATATATAAGGGGGGGGATATGATCTCCATGTATAATACATAAGGGGGGGATATGATCTCCATGTATAATACATAAGGGGGGATATGATCTCCATGTATAATACATAAGGGGGGATATGATCTCCATGTATAATACATAAGGGGGGATATGATCTCCATGTATAATACATAAGGGGGGGATATGATCTCCATGTATAAATACATAAGGGGTGATATGATCTCCATGTATAATACATAAGGGGGGGGATATGATCTCCATGTATAGTACATAAGGGGGGATATGATCTCCATGTATAATACATAAGGGGGGAGGATATGATCTCCATGTATAACCATGTATAATACATAAGGGGGAGATATGATCTCCATGTATAATACATAGGGGGGGGGGGGGATATGATCTCCATGTATAATACAATAAGGGGGGATATGATCACCATGTCACCATTAATACATAAGCGGGGGGATATGATCACCATGTATAATACATAAGGGGGGGGGGATATGATCTCTCCATGTATAATACATAAGGGGGGATATGATCACCATGTATAATACATAAGGGGGGATATGATCTCCATGTATAATACATAAGGGGGGATATGATCTCCATGTATAATACATAAGGGGGGATACTGATCTCCATGTATAATACATAAGGGGGGATATGATCTCCCATGTATAATACATAAGGGGGGGATATGATCTCCATGTATAATACATAAGGGGGATATGATCTCCATGTATAATTCATAAGGGGGGGATATGATCTCCATGTATAATACATAAGGGGGGATATGATCACCATGTATATAATACATAAGGGGGGGATATGATCTCCATGTATAATACATAAGGGGGGATATGATCTCCATGTATAATACATAAGGGGGGGATATGATCTCCATGTATAATACATAAGGGGGGGGATATGATCTCCATGTATAATACATAAGGGGGGGGATATGATCTCCATGTATAATACATAAGGGGGGATATGATCTCCATGTATAATACATAAGGGGGGATATGATCTCCATGTATAATACATAAGGGGGGGTATGATCTCCATGTATAATACATAAGGGGGGATATGAATCTCCATGTATAAATACATAAGGGGGGATATGATCTCCATGTATAATACATAAGGGGGGATATGATCTCCATGTATAATACATAAGGGGGGATATGATCTCCATGTATAATACATAAGGGGGGGATATGATCTCCATGTATAATACATAAGGGGGGGATATGATCTCCATGTATAATACATAAGGGGGGGGGGGGGGATATGATCTCCATGTATAATACATAAGGGGGGATATGATCACCATGTATAATACATAAGGGGGGATATGATCTCCATGTATAATACATAAGGGGGGGGATATGATCTCCATGTATAATACATAAGGGGGATATGATCTCCATGTATAATACATAAGGGGGGAGATATGATCTCCATGTATAATACATAAGGGGGGATATGATCTCCATGTATAATACATAAGGGGGGATATGATCTCCATGTATAATACATAAGGGGGGGATATGATCTCCATGTATAATACATAAGGGGGGGATATGATCTCCATGTATAATACATAAGGGGGGGATATGATCTCCATGTATAATACATAAGGGGGGGGGGATATGATCTCCCATGTATAATACATAAGGGGGGATATGGTCTCCATGTATAATACATAAGGGGGGATATGAATCTCCATGTATAATACATAAGGGGGGGATATGATCTCTCCACGTATAATACATAAGGGGGGATATGATCTCCATGTATAATACATAAGGGGGATATGATCACCATGTATAATACATAAGGGGGGGATATGATCTCCACGTATAATACATAAGGGGGGGATATGATCTCCACGTATAATACATAAGGGGGGATATGATCTCCATGTATAATACATAAGGGGGATATGATCACCATGTATAATACATAAGGGGGGGATATGATCTCCATGTATAATACATAAGGGGGGGATATGATCTCCATGTATAATACATAAGGGGGGGATATGATCTCCATGTAATAATACATAAGGGGGGGGATATGATCTCCACGTATTAATACATAAGGGGGGATGTGATCTCCATGTATAATACATAAGGGGGGGATATGATCTCCATGAATAATACATAAGGGGGATATGATCACCATGTATAATGGAACGCGAAACATAAGGGGGGGATATGATCTCCCATGTATAATACATAAGGGGGGGGTATGATCTCCATGTATAAATACATAAGGGGGGGATTGATCTCCATGTATAATACAATAAGGGGGATATGATCTCCATGTATAATACATAAGGGGGGGGGGATATGATCTCCATGTATAATACATAAGGGGGGGATATGATCTCCATGTATAATACATAAGGGGGGGATATGATCACCATGTATATAATACATAAGTATGGGGGTGGTGTAACGGACATGTAAAATTTATTGTAACGGACATGTAAGATTTGAGTGGAAATATGGAATCATAGCCATGACAGGTTGAGTAGATTAGATTAATGTCAGGCCCTCTCATTACAAAGGTGTGTGCAGGAACAGTCTGGTCATTAAGGATGTACATTTGGGCCCCCTGGGCAAGTAGGGAAATGAAATAGAATTGAGGTACAAACAAGGGTCTGGGGTCAGATGTGTATTATACACAATTACCACCATAGGCCTTACAGACCCAATCATCATTTTAACATTAATTAGCCTAAAGCCAGGTTCCGTGGATGGTGACAACTTTTGGTTTTTTGTGTGTCAATCAGGTTATCACCTTCTGGAAAAGCCAGTGACAGCAGACAGACTGTCTGCCCTTGATGGAAAACTCTATAAGTAATATTCACATCAAAGAAGTATGTTTAATCTCTTATAAAAAGCCAAAATATTAGTTGGAGATATGAACAAGCTTCTTTGTGCAGACCATTCTGTGCGTTGCTACATTTACATATAAGAATCATATTTGTGGCTTGGGGAGGAAGCCAGGGAAATGCATGGAATGATTAGATGACGCGGGGGTGCGCACCACAGTCGGATGTGTGGTTGGTACTGATGCGATCGGGCTGATGCGCTGGTGTCAGAAATCCAATCCCCGACTTGGTGTTCAGGCCAGTCTCACGCGGCCCAATTGAAATTGGGCAGGTCCATACACAGTACCTCTTGTGGGCAGGTTCAGGGACCACCTCCCCCAGAGTCAATTGGCCGAAGACTAATGTCCCGCCCATCTCCTAATCCCAATAAAATTGAACGCTGACGGACATTTGGACAGTGTGATCCGTACACGGAGCTGGTTCGATTGACTAGCGTGGATTGCCAAGTTTCTGGCTTGCTCCAGCCGCATGGGTAAAGTGTTTATTCTGTCTTTTTATTTCCTTTTATTTTATAGTAATCAGTCATTTGTGTGTCTTCTTATATCTTTTGTATTTCTGT